TACCTAGCCAACTCTAGCATGCATATCATATCATAACATATCTCATAACACATAATGTAAGGGTATTTTGGGAAATCACCGTTCAGGCGCTGGCTGATCGTACACACTGCTTCCTTTTTGCCTTTCTCAAAATCTTTTACTCTTTTAGAAAAATTGTTTATTTTATGAAAATTTTTCTCAATTCCTCAGTTTGAGTTCAGATTCATCCGAAGATGCACCCGAATCCCTCAAACCAAGGCTCTGATACCAACTTGTAACAACGTAAATTTTCAAAACAATTTTTCATTTTTGAATCATACTTTCATTCACATGATAATCACAAAACATAATATGTCACTATGCCATAACAAAAACATGTCCCAGAATCTCAATAACATAAACTCCATAAGTGTGTACGGATCATGCCTGCGCCTTCCCACGGTCCTTTGCTAGTACCTGAAACACATATCATAACAACTGTAAGCATAAATGCTTAGTGAGTTCCCCAAAATACCACATGCCATACATACGCCTTTCCAGGCCACAACTCTGTAGGATCTTCCGATCCATGTGTCTCAGGGAACTCCCGTCCCAAATCCCGGTAGACCTTCCGGTCCTACCCGTATCGACCTTCCGATCCGTAACCTCTTGACCTTCCGGTCTATATCATACATAATCATACATAGCACATACATATCACATAACCACATATAGCACATACATCATAGCATACAAGACCTTCCGGTCACACATAAGTACCCTTCCAGGTACAGTATAGTGAGAAGACTCACCTCAATGAAGTCGGATAAACTCTCGTGCTCAACGTCCCGACTTTGCCTCCTCCTATTATTCAAATAACATCCTGATCAATATTCTCTCATGATCTCATCTCTACAAACTGGGTAGAAGGCCATTCTACCCTTCCCTGAACTCTCCTGAATCAGTCTTGACCAGAACCCTAAAGTCAACGAAAGTCAACGGTCAAACTTTGACCCGACTCGTCGAGTGCACAAGGGCGACTCGGCGAGTCCATGCGGGTCCTCTGAATCCTTTCAGCCTCTCTTGGCTCGTCGAGTCATCCTTCCACTCGACGAGTTACACCTGACACGAATCGCGGGGCAACCCCGACGCGACTCGTCGAGTCCACTTATGGACTCGGCGAGTTGCCGCCATGCTCATACTCAAATGACCTTCTGAGGTCAGATCCGTTCCTCTAATCCATAGATCTGACCTTCCCAAGCTCAATAAACACGTAAAGGTTCGATCTTGATACTCATGAAATGTCCAAATAACCCTACTTGATGAATTAGCCCCAAATACAACATCCTAAGTCCATTTTCTTCCATAACTCATCATAAAGCAAGGTGGATAGAGTTCTCTGGACCACTATGGGTCCAGATCTGAAGTCTAAACATGATAAGGGACCATATTCCCAACAAATCAACCCAATAAAGGGTATAGAAAACCCTAGATCCATGGATTCTTTAACAAAACAGAAAAAGGATCGATATGCTACCTCAAGGATGATGTCCTTTGCTTGAAATCCACAGATATGCAACCTCCTTGGCCTCCTCTAAGCTGGAACCACCTTCTTCTTGCAAAACCAACCCACAAAGATCAAATAATGGCTTCTTCCCTCTCACAAACGCTCAAGCACTCTTAGGGTTTCTCTCAAGGGTCTGGTAGCCGCAAATGGTGGCTATAAAGGTCCTTAAATAGGGCTCAGGCCCCCGAGAATTAGGGTTTCATTAAACAACGTGAACTCGCCGAGTCCACGTATGGACTCGCCGAGTCCTTCATTAAATCAGACCAAAGTGCACGATCCCACTCGGCGAGTCTGAGCGCCTACTCGCCGAGTCCCTTTCTAAAATTCAACATAAATACTTAAAATAAGATACCTGGGAATCCGGATGTTACAGCGCCCAACTCGTCGAGTTGCCTCCTCCAACTCGCCGAGTTGTCACATTAACCCCGCGACTAAAACAACTTCTACTCACCGAGTCGAGGCTCCTCAACTCGTCGAGTAGACCCAATAAATCCTCATGATTCTTCATCTTCAACTCGCCGAGTTGGCTCCTCAAACTCGCCGAGTTCAACTTGAAATTGGCATAACTCCACAATTAACCTTCTAGGTTCCGGGTGTTATAGCGAAGATTGTGAAAAGTTTCAGTGCAACCTACCTTTGCTCTCCTATCCATGTACTCGTCGCCACTAATTTCTATTGGTTGTGTCTCGGAGATGGTTTCGTGCTCGTCATACGCACATATTGCTCTTACTTTGTCTTCAATAATCATATTATGCAATATCATACATGCATACATGATTTCTTGAAGTTTTTCCTCGCTGAAAAACTGCTGGTTTTTTTTCAGTATGTACCAACGTATCCTAAGAGCTCCAAAAGCCCGCTCGACATCCTTCCCGACTCTTTCTTGAGCCTTCTTGAATTTTTCCGTCTAAAATCATGTGGACAAGAAAATGATTTAACAAACACAACATACTCAAGATAGATCCTATCAACAAGATAATAACCATACTTATATGACGTTCTACGCACTTGAAAAGAAAAATCTGGTGCAGATCCGTCGTATATGTTGTTAAATATAGGTGAACGATTAAGAACGTTGATGTCGTTAATCGAACCGGGAAAACAAAAAAAAAGCATGTCAAATCCATAAATTCTGTGACGCCGCCGCTTCAAGTATGATCGTTGGGTGATTGTGATCACCTCCGGTAAATTGACCATGGTGTGAGGTAGGACAATTTTCCCATGCTCAATGGAGACAATCTAACATTCATATCATTCCAGGAAAGCAATGTACACTGGGATGATGAGCTTGCAATTGTAAGAAGTCATTACGTGTAAGCTTACATAAATATTTTGGACCATAAAACTCAATCACAGTTTTGCATAAAAAATGGAGACTATCTTGTGCGGTCCTAGCGGACATCCTAAAACTCTCGTCCAACGCATCAGATGTGATGCCATATGCTAATTGAGGAAGTGTGGCTGTGTATTTTTATAAGGGAGTGAAACCGGGTGCACCTTTAGCATTGAGACGACGTTGAAAAAAACTACACTCCCTTGTTAAATCTTCGACTATACGTTCATATGAAGGTTTGAACATTCTGAAGCACCTTCGAAAGTAATACCCTTAAAAAGTAGCATTCTCGTGAAAGTAGCCTTGTACCAAGCGCTGGTTTGGCTTCTTCACAGTTTCTGTAAATAGAGATGAACATAGGTGGGTACCCGTCTCTTTTTGTGAAAACCGGAACCGGCGGTTCCTAGAAAGTTAGAATCGAAACCAGAACTGGTCTAGGCGGTTCTTCAATTTTTGGAACCAGTCCCGGAACCGGCGGTTCCGGTTCCAGGACCGGGTAACCCGGTTACATCAACATTTGTTTACTTTTGTCAATAAAAACCGCAATTTAGTTCGGTCTAAATCGAATTAATTTGAACCAACGACAGATAAAATCATATAAATATATTCTAAACCGGTTTAAATAATAATACACACATTTTATTGAATATCAAACTACAACAAGATGCTTTGGTAATGTTAAGGCTTTAAGGTAGATACTTTGGTTATTTATATTTGCCGATCGTGTACGGAAGAAGTGTGTGTGTGTGTGTAATATATATATATATATATATATATATAATCTATATATATATATATATATATATATATATATATATATATATATATATATATATATATAAACCGGTTACGGCGGCTACCCAGCAGGTAGCGCTTCCGAAAAAATGAGAACCGGAACCGGAACCGCTTAAGGCGGTTCCAATTTAGGAACCAAAACCGCTTAAGGCAGTTCCAGTTCCGGAACTGGCGGTTTCGAGGCAGTTCCGGTTCCGAAAACGGGTACCCGGTTGCAGTGCTGATCCCTATTTGTAAATATATCTTTGTGTTCTCCATTGAGAATTTTCAGATGTGTTATTACATAAAGCAACATATGCTTGCTCCGCCATTTGACCACAAGCGACAACAACATAAAAAACAAATTGAAATTCTTCAAAAGACGATGACATTTTCTACTGATTTTGAAAGAAAAAAACATTAGAAAGATATAAACATTTGGTTTTGGTTTAAAGAAATAAGGATGAAAGGTTTATTTTATAGGTAAATTATTTTTATATATATTGAATATTTTGACCGTTCAACTGTCACTTTTCTTCCCCACCAATAAACGATTGCGAAATTTAAAGGGAGAGGTGCCGCCAAACGCACCCAAAACCGCATAGGGGTCGGTGTTTCCCTACCTATGTTGCATTGAGTACGGCTGAACCAAATGCCACTCCCTTGGGTATAATAAGACTATAAACTAGGGGTGAGCAAACCCAAACCAAGAAACCGGGAAACTGACTAAAACCGACGAAACTGAAACCGAAGCAATACCGACGATTAGGGTTTACATTTTTTAAAAACCGAAAAATCGGGTTCGGTTTCGGTTTTTACCCAGAAACCGACCCATCCAACCCGAGAAACCGACCTATACTTAAAACTGACAAACCATCCCAAAAAACCGAGCCATACTTGATTGTGTTTTGTTGTAATAGACTATTTCGGGCATTGGTTGTAACTTATAATAGACTATTTGTTGTAAGACTCATGTTTTTTTGAAGTATTTAACTTCAATTTGGTGGTTTTTGAAGTATTTAACTTGTTGATTCATTTATAGAAAATGAGTTAAAACCCAAAACCCATGAGTTTAAACCCAGAACCCGTGAGTGTATGGGTTGAACCCAAGAAACCGAAAAACCGCCCAAACCATCCTCAGAACCTAAGAAACCGAACCGACCAGAAACCGATCCTATTGGATTCTGAAAACCAGAAACCGACCATTTATGGGTTGGGTTGAGTTTGGGTCCAAAACCGACCCATGCACAACCCTACTATAAACCATATTTATCGTTATTTTTAAAAGATTAAACCTAAACAATTAAGCCGAAAGATACAAATTTCATATCCATCAATTTGACTGCTTTGAAACTTTGACTAATTATCATATTATCTTCTTCAAAATTCCTCTCTCTCTCTCTCTCTGCAGTTTCCTGTGATTTCTCTCTCTATAACAAACACTCTTATTATAAGAAAAGCTGCCAAAGCCTTAAATCATGACGCTTCACATTGTTAACATTTTGCTACATATCCACAGGAACTGTTCCGTTTCTGATGTTCAAGTATTTCAAAGTTCACATGCTTATCCTTAACGGATTTCATTTATGAACACCCACACTTTATAATCATTCTGTTTCACTTTCTATTAGTTTATAGAGAAGAGAGACGATTTACAAGGTAGTTTTTGTTTTTTTAATTCGAGTTTTCTGAGATGGGTGTTGGATGGTTGTCTATGGCGGCGGCGGCGGCGGTTGTAGTGATGGTGCTGCTAGTAGGCGGTGTAAATGGTTTTCCGGCGGAGGATCTGGTGGTGAAATTGCCCGGACAACCAGATGTTAGTTTCAGACAGTATGCTGGATATGTAGACGTGGATGTGAAGGCTGGGAGGAGTTTGTTCTATTACTTCGTTGAAGCCGATAAGGATGCTGATCGTAAACCCCTCACTCTTTGGCTCAATGGAGGTCTGTAATCTGTTCCACTCTCTCATTTCAATATTCGATTTGATATCTCGATTCAAAACTAATATTATGTGGTATTCGAATGTGGTTATGTGGATCGAAATCGTCATTTTGAAGTGAATTATAGTGATTCAAGTAGTAAATAAGCTTATAAACCACATAAATGTAATAACAGTTAACCTATTCGTAGTTTAATCGACTTATCTCAAAGTCCCAACAATCGATTTCACCAATTAAGCTATTGCAAATAACCATATCGTCACTTAGATTCAAATGGAAACAAGGATTTTTTGAATTTTAGTGCAGAAAAAGGGGGAGAATGCAGGACATGCAGGTGGGGTGTTGTTAAAGCGGATGTAAAGCATGGGAGACATTTCGAGTTCCCTTTTTACAAAACTGTACTTTAAGCAAACAACATGCTCTTCTCATAACTTTTCCTTTTTGGTTGTTCCTTGTAAAGTTAATAGTTTTAGGCACAAATACTAATCTACCATATATTCTACTCTATTTTTTTTTCACATAGGTAGTGTAAAAATAACAATATTAAACTTTTATATATTTTAACATATTCTATAATCTAACAAGTAGGGTTTCATTCACGTTCATCTGTGAATTGAAATCTTGCGTGAGATTATGAATTAGAAAAAGAAGGATCATTTAAGGTTTTCTTGATTTCGATGTATAAGTAGTTGGGGGGCAGTGTGTAATTAATACCAAGAGTTGGGTTCAAAATTGAAAATGGTTCTTTGGGATTTGCAAACGTGAATGGTTTTTCTTCCTTCTTTAGAAATTAGAACTATATATTATTTTATTAAATGGGATAAATAAATAATAAAGTACATAAAAAAAAATTTGAATTTTATATGTAGGCCCAGGTTGCTCATCAATGGGTGGAGGAGCCTTCACCGAGTTGGGTCCATTCTTTCCACAAGGTAATGGCCGGGGCCTACGCATAAATAAAGAATCATGGAATAAAGGTGAGTAGCTAAATATTTGTTAATGTATTAATATTTTATTTTTTTATTCAAATATTTGTATTTCTCATCTTTGTGTAATATTTTCTTGTTATCAATTAGCATCAAATTTATTATTCGTGGAGTCTCCAGCGGGGGTAGGATGGTCATACTCGAACACATCCTCAGATTACACAACAGGCGATGCCAACACGGGTAATTAAAAAGACATTTTTACCCTTCTATATTATCTTTCCCTTTTGGTATCTAATAAAATATTATTTTTATGAATAAACAGCAAGAGATATGCATACATTCTTGATGTATTGGTACAAAAAGTTTCCATCTTTCAGATCACGAGATTTATACCTAACAGGCGAAAGTTATGCAGGTACGTTTCTAGAAAAAAAAAAAAGGATTTTATTATTTTTATTTTTATTTTTATTTGTGTGTCATCTTTTTGACCAAATAGTTGACTAGTTTTATAAAGATAAGTGTTAATGATGATGTTACATGTAGGGCATTACATACCACAATTGGCTATTGCCCTTTTGGACCACAATGCCCATTCTACTGGTTTCAAGTTCAAAATCAAAGGAGTCGCTGTAAGATTTCATTTATATAACTTACAATAACATATATACGTTCAATGGCAAATTAGTAATTACCGAACTTTTTTGTATCAGATTGGTAACCCGCTTCTTAAACTTGATCGCGATGTGCCAGCTGTATACGAGTATTACTGGTCTCATGGGATGATATCAGATGAGATTGGTCTTACTATTATGAATGGATGCAATTTTGAAGATTATACGTTTGCTTCACCTCACAATGAATCTGTTGCATGTAACAATGCCCTTTCTCAAGCAAATAGCGTAATTGGTGATTATATTAATAATTATGATGTCATTGTTGATGTTTGCTATCCATCACTAGTAGAACAAGAGCTTCGTTTGAAGAAAACGGTAACTTTGCAACATTTTTTTTATAGTTTTCTTACAACAATTTGTAGTATCAAGCATATTAATATGTTTGATACAAAGATTGCATCAAGCAAAAATGTTATTTGTGCCTGATACATTGTTGTGCCTATACTGTGTATCAGACACAACAATGTGTCTAATAAAGTATGTATCAGGCACAATGTAATATTGTGGCTGATACAAAATTTGGAACCTGTTGATGAATTTGTGTACCTTTTTTTTGGTTGAAAAGGTGACGAAGATGAGTTTTGGAGTTGATGTGTGCATGAGCCTTGAAAGACGGTTCTATTTTAACCTTCCAGAGGTTCAACAGGCTCTCCATGCTAATCGAACCAAGTTGCCCTATTCCTGGAGTATGTGCAGTGGGTAAGTTTTTTTTTAATGCTGACGTGGTTTTTTTTTTTTTTTTTTTTTTTTAATTTAATGTTTAATATATTGAAAGTGATATAAAATGTTCTTGTAACAGAGTTCTAAATTACAAAGACGATGACGGAAACATCAACATTCTCCCTCTGCTTAAAAGAATCATCCAAAACAAAATCCCCGTTTGGATTTTCAGGTACACTTTTGTGCTCAACAAGAAAACACATAGAAAATGTTCGCTTTTACTTAATACAAATTTGTCCACATTTACGTTTTCCATTTCCCAAAATATGTTGTCATATTCTAAAAAAAAATTAATGGTTTTATAATGTTTTAACATGTAGTGGGGATCAAGATTCTGTAGTTCCATTGCTTGGATCAAGAACACTGGTGCGTGAATTAGCTCACGAATTAGAATTCCCGATTACTGTTCCATACGGAGTGTGGTTCCATAAAGGCCAGGTACTTTCATTAGTCAACTGTTGTTTCGGTTTAGTTTGACTTTTCTAATTAGTTTGACCAAAACAAAAAGTCAAAATGTGTTGTAGGCTGGAGGTTGGGTGACTGAATATGGGAAGCTACTTACATTTGCAACAGTGAGAGGTGCGGCTCATATGGTGCCATATGCACAACCGTCACGTGCTCTGCATTTGTTTAGTTCATTTATTCGTGGTATAAGACTCCCGAACAACACACGTCCTTCTATTGAGGACTAAAAAAAACTAGATTTAATTTTAGATTTTTAAGTTATGTTTTTCTGGATTATTCATGTGGCCGAAGGCAAGAAACAATTTGACTCAGGTAATTTTCGTAATGTAAGAAAAAAAAAGGAGTTGAATTATATATCACAAGCCATTGTGGTTAAATTGAACAATTGAACTCTTAGGTTTATGTTTTGGTTTCTGGTTTCCGGTACCTAAGGTTATGCCGTTTGAATGGTTTTAAAATATTAGAAACAACCAATTCTGCCAAGAGAACCAGGCATCGATGAATTTTCTATAGAAAAAACTACGTTGTTTTGATTGGTTTTATGATTAAGCCTTTGTTTGATGCATATAAAGTATTTTATTTTTTGAATGCATTGCAATTTGGTGTTTGGTGAAACCATAAAGGTAGATTGTAGTTGCTTATAAACTAGTTTATTTGATAGCTTGTAAGCTAAATGTTAGCTTTTCAACAAGCACACAACCAGTGAAACATTAGGGGTAAAATTATAACATAACAATTTATTGGATTTGGTTTTAAATGGTCCCTCGTTTATTTTTTTGTGCATTACAAAGGTGCAATATTTCAAATTACATGTTAAATGAGGGAATGATCTCGGTTTATAGGTTGAGCTGGTGACATGTCTGTATTGTGCTGATTTGGACTCTGTCTATACCCATGAAGGCATGAACTACACCTCTTCCAACCTTCCCTAATAAGAAATAAAAAAGGGTCCTTAAGACTAGTTCATTTTTTCGCACACAACTTCTTCGATCTACATCATCTCTTCGTCTTCATCGCATCATTCTAGAAGGAGTGGGAACCATTTGACAATTGTACGTAGCACTAAAAACCCTTATGATAAATAAAATATAATTTCTTTTAATTTCTTTAATTTTATCAATTAAATACAATTTTTAGTTGAATTTTTATCCCAAATTATCAAAATTCATTCGAATTCAATAAAGTAAACAGGAAATTAAAGAGTGAGATTTTCAGATGAACATAATTATAGGTTGTTAACATTGAGATCTTAGTTAAAATCGTTTTTCATTTTACAAAATCTTGATCATAAAATCGAATCGCAATCGTAAGATCATACATTGGACAATTTTCTCATAATAATTGTAATTATGTATGCAATTATATATCAGTTATCATCTTTATCATCTTTGTGACTTAGTTTTATTTAGTTATAAAAAATATTATATAGTCTAACATTTTGACAGGAAATAAAACCAATTATGATATTCTAAAACATGACGTATGAACCAAAATATATTACTGTAAACACACTTTATAATTATTTTCAATTTAATATTGATAAAAGAACTTTATATCTTATATTTCAGTATAAAAACGAGTTATTGCATACGTGGGATCGTAATGCACACCTCTTTTACTTTTGATATTTCCTCAAGAATCACCTACCAAACGTAGTTGGTTTCACCAGATTTATAGACTTTACATACACATCATCACGTTCAAGCATTTTCATATCAATGGCGACCATCACTGAAATTACCAAAACGCCCTCCTCTCCCCCTCAAATATTTCTTCCTTCGAAACTTTTTTGTTACTCGACCAATGATTCACTGCAACCACAATTGACAACAAGGTAAGATCTTCTATTATTGATCACTTCATGTGCAGAATCTCTGTGGGTGGGTTTAACTTCAAAGTTCAGTTTCTAGGGCTTCTTTCAAGTTTCAAGTGCTCATTCTTCGTTATTGATCAGATTGCTTGGATTTGGTTAAAGGTTTGATGCGATTTTGTTTACTACCATTTTTTAGGTTATTCTAAGAATTGAAATTTGGGGAAAATCAAATGCTTAATAGAGTCTATTCAGCTTCCCCTGGATATTTGAGGTCTTCTGTGAATTGGGCACATTGTAAAAGATCTCGTTTTAGGTCGATCAACAGATTCAATGTGATTAGCTCTTGTTTATTTATAGTGTTAGCTATAACTTGTGTTTATATATACTTGTATGAAGCTGTTCCATCACCTGTAATCCTTGAAAAAAACACGATCAACGATTTACAGGAATCAAAAGGTGTTTGTGATCTGTATGATGGAACTTGGGTTGTTGATGAAACTTACCCTTTATATAATGCATCCGAGTGTCCTTTTGCTGAGACAAGTTTTAATTGTTTAGCAAATGGTCGAAGAGATAAAGGGTACCTCAAATGGAAATGGAAGCCCAAAAATTGTGAAATTCCTAGGTTTAATGTAGGGGTAGTTCTGGAAAAACTTCGTGGGAAACGAATTGTGTTTGTTGGTGATTCTTTGAGTAGGACTCAATGGGAGTCTATGATATGTTTGCTCATGAATGGTGTGGAAGATAAAACAAGTGTTTATGAAGTCAATGGGAACAAGATAAGTAAAAAAATTAGGTATTTGAGTGTTCGATTTCATTCTTTTAATTTCACAATCGAATTCTATCGATCTGTTTTTCTTGTGAAAATTGGATCAGTCCCAAAACGTTCACCAAAAAGGGTTCGATCCACAATTAAACTTGATGAACTGGATGGAATTAGCTCAAAATGGATCGATTCAGACATTTTAGTGTTCAATACTGGCCATTGGTGGAATCGTGCAAAACTTTTTGAAATGTAAGTCGTTCTTTTCTGCTTATTTTTTCATTTAGTGTGATTTCTTGCATTTAGGTCTAATAGTTTGGATTTTTTGAACAGGGGTTGTTATTTTAAGGTTGGGGGAAGGTTGAAACTTGGAATGTCAACAATGTCAGCATATACAACAGCATTGAACACTTGGGCTTCATGGGTCGAAAATATGGTGGATACGGATAGGACCCGTGTGTTCTTTAGGACTTTTGAAGGCAGTCATTGGAGGTATGTTATATCATTTTTATTTATCTATACAAAACAATATAATTGAAAATTCAATTTAAAATTTAAGTTAAAGAAAAATGTTATTGGATTAATATCTACTAACGGTTTCTGCCTATGTACCAGCGGGCAAAATGGTCACACATGTGAAGTTACGGAAAAGCCCTTGTATAGAAGTAACATGGAATACAGAAATAATTTTTCGGATATTATAAAAAAAGTGGTGAATAATATGTCGGTTCCTGTAACTACAATGTACGTGACACCCATGGGATCGTTTCGTAGTGATGCACATGTTGGCACTTGGAGTGATAATCCAACAGTTCCTGATTGTAGTCATTGGTGTCTACCTGGACTCCCTGATGCATGGAATCAAATCCTTTTTTCATATCTATGAAACTACAACATGCTCACTTGACTGACTATTATAACAAATTTAATTAATTTGTTGTTGTGCAATGCTCACATTTAATAATTGGTTTCTCAGATTTTTACATACATTACGTGTTTTAGCACAAGTTTGATAAGTGTGATGTATTCTGATTTTCTTTCATGTATTTGCATTTCTTTAAAACTTGAACAAATTAAAGTAGTAATTCTCAAATGAAGTGGTAGATTCTAAACAAAAATAAAGTCAGAGTCAATCAATGGTCCGTAAAACTATCTAGAAGCTCTAGATTTTATTCATATACGAGTGTTTGGAAAAAATAGCTAAAAACTTTTAAAACATATATAACTATATAGAAATACTTATCTAAAACATGTCATTGATTTTTAAAGAGAGTATTTAAGTCAATTTGTAAAATTATAAAAGAACTTTTTTAGTTTTTAGATTTGAAACTTTTTATTTTATCTAAAATCTCCTGTTGCAATCAAATATTTTTCTTTTATTCTATCTAAAAAAAAGCTATAAGCTCCTAAAAATTGCATGTGGAACGCATTCTAAACATGACCACATTTTAAAACCGATTTCTCAAAACAATTTTTGGAGACATCTTTTGTGCTATGAAGGTTTTTATAGCGGAGACCATTAAAATAACAATTATGTAAAATAAAAAACAAATTCACAAAATCCATTTTGCTATAATGGATAGTTATAATGTGATAGATATGGCTGTGTATGGGTTGGTTTGGACCGATTTTGGACCCAAATTGAAATTGGTCGGTTTCTGGTTTTAATAACCCAATAGGGTCGGTTTCTGTTGGGTTCGGTTTCTCGGGTTCTAGAACTGATGTTGACGATTTTCCGGTTTCTTGGTTCAATCCATATTCTTAATAAAGATTAAAAGTGAAAGCTGTCAACAAGGCCTTGTGTCATGTTGTCCGATATTCTTAATTGGGTAGATAAATGGAAACAAGTAAAAAAATACCATAACATACTAATCTAAATTTGAGCTGTAATCAGATTAAGGGAAACAGGTGATTATAATACTGACATAAACATGTAGCTAACCGAGAATAAAAACGTACCTTTATCATTATTTTTTAATATATAATACTGTTATGAATTAAGCGTACTTAATGTAACTATAAATCAAACCAAACTAGTAAACTTTGATAAGAACTTTAATTGAGAAGAAAGAATATTCAGAGAGAATATGAAAGTTATATCTCTTATAACTTTTGGTGTATCACATTCTTTACAATGGAGGGGTATTTATACTACAAATTTTACTAACATATAATTGTAACTAGTTAGAAATGTTGACAAATTTACCATGCACCAATTATTATGTCATCCACCAATTATTTATAACACCATCAATTATTTACAACACTCCCCCTTGGATGACATCATTTTAGCGTTCAACTTTGACGTACTGCCTCATTAAAAACCTTGCTAAAGAAAACCCAGTGGGAAAAAAACTTTAGCGAAGGGAAAAAGAGTGCAGTGTATAGTTGACTCCCCCTTATTTTAGACATCCGTCACATTATATTCTATGCACATGTCGCATTCCGATGCCATGGACATGTTTCCTGAAGATTGCAGTAGGAAGTGTCTTCGTAAAAAGGTCTGCTGCATTGTTACTGGATTGAACATATTTGATTTCAACTTAATGGTTCTTTATATGCTCTTGAGTGTACTCAAAAAACTTTGGAGGTATATGTTTTGTCCTGTCGCTCTTGATATATCCCTCTTTCATTTGAGTGACACATGCTGAGTTATCTTCATAAATTAAAGTTGGACATATATCATTTTCAAGTCCACATGAAGTTAAAACTAGTTGTGTCATCGATCTTAACCATGT